CCTTCGTGATCGGGGGATGGATTTCCCTGGCAATACTGCGGCGGGCCCAGGAGCTGCTGCCCAAGTCCTACGTGATGTTCTCGTACGGAACCACGGAAACGGGAGTGGTGACCATCAACGTCGACCACCGTCTGGAGTGCTCGGTGGGCAGGCTGGCGCCCGGCATGCGGATCAAGGTCCAAGGCGAGGATGGCCAGCAGCTGGGCGTCAACCAGACGGGCGAGGTGCTCATCGACATCGGGCTGAAGTGGGAGGGCTACCTCTCGAACCCGGAGGACACGGCCACCACGCTCCAGGATGGCTGGATCAACCTGGGCGACCTGGGCTACTTCGACGAGGACAACAACCTCTACCTGGTGGACCGCAAGAAGGACCTGCTGAAGTACAAGTCCAAGCACTACTGGCCCAACGAGATCGAGCAGATCATCGCCGAGCTTCCGGAGGTGGAGCACGTGTGCGTGGTGGGCGTGCGGGATGCGCGGTACGGCGACGCCGCCGGAGCCCTGATCATCAAGAAGGAGGGCGCCGAGATCGCCGACCAGAAGGTCATCGACCATGTGGCCCAGCGGGTGGTGGTGGACTACAAGCAGCTGAATGCCGGCGTCATCTTCGTGGATGAGTTCCCCAAGAACGCCAACGGCAAGGTCATGAGGAGCTTGGCGCGCGAGGTGTTCGAGAAAACCAAGCCCATTAACTTCTAACACCTGAAATCAATATGTAATTTTAAAATTGAGCTACCTGGTTTACTGTGAGGACAAATTTAAGTTCCTGTTGCTTTTTGTTAATTCGTGATAATTAAAACTTACTTTTCGTAGATTACGTTGTGAGCTGTTGGCTTCTAGTTGTAATTAGGGGTAACCATTGGAGTTTCCAGCAACTGCGAGCAGCTGAAAGTCGATGCTATCGGAAGAATCATATCCGCATTGCTTTAATGGCTATCTTTTTAATTAAGTTAAAATGCTAAGTGCTTGGCAACGATAAGATACAGCTCCAAAGAAGGAACTGCTTGTCATGCACTTACTACTTATCTACCTATAGATAGTAACGACAAATTATTAATTATCCATAACGAGGATCTCAGTTAGGGTGCAGTAAATGAAAACAAAATGAAGCCACCAAGCGCCGCAAAGTGCATTTAATGCAGTTCCCTGTTTTGAATGGCTTTTAACCACGTTCGAATGGCACTCTCAACGTGGCTTTCCGGCCTCCAAAGTCCGAATAATGGCAAAATGCGCGCGGAAGAGGCAAATCCGTGGTTTGATCCTCGTTGGTATATGAACACCTTTTGTGACGGCAAAATGCGGCAATTTACGGTTATGGAAATGGAAATGTGTCTGAAAATGTCTGGCCGTCCGATTGCAATAATTTACCTTCCGGTCGATGGTGGCATTTTGTGTTTCCGGTTGCGTTCAAAGCTATCGCAACCGCTGTTTCCGCCGCATGCGGCACAATCTGCTCGATTTCGATGCCCCTTCCAGGGGTTATGGTTATGCAAGAATTCAGAGGACCGCGTTTGCCGACCCAGCCAGTTCAATGTAGCATATCCTGTGTGCTCTTCGCTTTTCGCTGCTGGTTGGAGTGTCCTCGTGGCTTCCAAGTACCCATCCCTTCTGCCGCAGCCCCCTGCACCCGCATTGCATTCTTGACCCGCCGTCGTCGCCGTCGTAAATTATTCAAATCTAAGTCGTAAATAAGCGCGCATAAACATAAGCACAATCGCTGTTCATCCGCCCGCTCCTGCTCCTGCTCCTGCTCCTGCCACAGACCACGCCCACAGGACATCTTTGCAGCTCCGAGATTCCATCTCCGCGTCCGTCTCCGGACGCCACAAGCCCTCGAGAATCCAGTGGCAAATTGCTGAAATCGCCGGCTCTACATTTGAGTTTGCAGCTGCAAGTTTATGGAAATCCTCGGCAATAATTTGCGGCTGCAAAATGTTTTCCCTCCTTTTTTGGGTCTCGAAAACACCATTAAGCAGACTATGAGTTCCTTCTGTAGTAGCGATAGGCTGATCAACACGGTTTTAAGATGCATTTTAAGCATTACATTATTATGTTCGCCTCAGAAAAGCTTGGTTATTCACATTAGTTAACATGGCTCTAAAAGCCTTATTGGCACCTGGAAACGTGATTGACGTTTGGCTAACGCACGAGGTGATTTCGGATTTTGGATTTCGGCTTTCGGATGTGGTTCGCTGGATTGCTGACAGGCATGCCGCCCATGCCGCCCATGCCGCACCCCCCATCGAAGGCGGCGGACTTAACAGATCCTGGCATTGATGCCGGCTGAAAGGACTCAAGGGTCCGGACTCCGCGGCCAGAGGAAAGTGTTTGATTGATGGGCGCAGCTGAAGGGCTCCGATTGCACGCTTGGCTGAGTGACGTGGCAGGCAGGGTCTTTATCTGCGGAGGACACCCGATCATGGCCTGCTTTAATCACCACCCACTCTCTGATTACGGCAGCGCCACGGGGAACCGCCAGCTACAGGGGAACCACAACGCAGACTGCTCCTCCAAACATCCATGTTTACATGCAATTACCGTCTCAGTGTTCCGCTGTCAACTCGAATGCTATTTGCCATTGTTTATTACTCGAAGCTCCCAACTCCATTCGCTGGGAGGAGCTGCACGGACGGAGTCCATCGGGCGATTCAGGTGGTTGGGGGGATTCAGGGGATTCAGGGGATCCAGGTGATTCAGGGGAATCGGTATCGTGTCGGTGGCATTCTTAATTGCATTGCTGCCAGCAATGCATCATCGCAGAGCACTTTCCGCTGCAGGAGCTGGTAAAAATGTTCATCGCTAATGTCGCAAATGTTTGCCGTTGGCTTCTGACTCTGCCTTTGGCCAAAACACGAAACAGAGCCAAATTGCCAAGGAATCGGAGGTGGTCGTAAAGAGAACGTTAATGTAATTGCTGCTTTGTGCTTCTCAATTTGCACTCCCTATGTGAAGCTGCCCAGCAGGAAATTCTGGGTTTGTAAAGCGAAAAGTTCTCAGGTTATAAAATAAGTTTGGGACGTAGGGCACATAGATATGGTAACAGATGTACCTAATGCATTGTTACAAGACCACCTTTACACAATCATTAAAAGTAGAGTTCACCTCCAGTTAGAGTTTTTAATTTATTGCGGCTTACGGATAACAGATTGGATAAGTCAATTAAAATGCGGAGATTTAAATTCACTCGGAAGCTGGAAAGACTTCTCGGACACTTTGCGATGAAGACCTGCAGCCAAAGCGTTTCAAGTTGTTAGCCGCCAATGAATTATTCATGGCCAGTCGTTGTCCTGGCCTACGCGTCGATGATTAAATCAAATCACTTCAACCCGTTGCCAATGCCCCCCAACCAGCCGAAAAACCCGCCCAAGGTCGCCGCCCACCACCACCCGCTGGTCATCCTTATCAGTGGCACTGCGCAAACGATGCCCACGGGCCATATTACAAAGCTTTCTGCAGCCTGGCAACTGTCGGCGACTTCAAGGGGTTAATTGTGGCGCATCCCGCCTAATGCCACGAGATTTCTGTCTAAGTCTGGGGAAGACACTCCCACTTCCCATGCGCAGCTCGTTGGCTTGGGAGGAAGCAAACAAACTTCCAGCTGACTGGAGCCGAAGTTCGCAAAAGGTCCGGGAAGGTCAAAGGTAGCGCCATCGGAAAACAGAGGAATAAATAGCAGTCACTGCAGACAGTTATTGGGGTCCAACGAGTCCAAGCTCTCTGATTAAATCACAAATTTTAGGCGGAGCTGTGTAGCAGCTCCTGAATTCATCACATTCGTAACGGGTGCATGGGCCAGAAATTGAATGGACATTTTCATACAGCAGCATTCTGGCCATTTCGCTTTGATTTGGATTTCCATTCTGGTGCATTGGCCATTTGCTTTTAATAAAAATTCATCAAAAGCCAGCAAAACGGCAGATTCGCAGGCACACTGGCATTGCCACTGTGCCACAGGCAGTGGCAGAGGCAGAGGCAGAATCATGTGCGCCAGAAGTCATAAAAAGGGGTGAAACAATGGCGAGCGTGCAACCGGAAACGGAAGTCGACGCAGACAAACACCAGATACGAAAGGGCGCCATGGCTGAGAATGGGAGGAGAACGGGCAGAGGAAAGAAAAGGATAAGGCTCAAATGGAACTCGAGTCAGGAGCAGAGACAGTGACAGCAGAAATAAGCTGCCCTTTTCTTCTCGGCATTCCCAGATGATTTTTAAATAAGCAAGCCTGCGGAGTAGGTACCTCCGTATTTTTATGGCATTCCAATTTGAGCGAAACAGAGGGCTCCAGGGACAACAAGGGTGCGTCCTTTCGGCCAAGGACTAATAGGCACAGCCTTGACAGCACGTCCTGGCTGCGGAGCGAAATGACAGGAGCCATAAACGAAAATGTGTAAAAAGCTTAAGCGGCACTAAAAGAATCCCCCACCAGCGACCTCCCAAAATGGCGAATAGGTGCATAATGGACGCCTGACACTGTGGGCAGATGTCAACATGTGCTTTTATTATCGCAGAGTGCACCGCCACCCCGCACAGTCTTCCCTTGAGCCGCCACAGGCTGTGGCCACGTGGCAGGACTCGAAATGCAACTTAATTAAGAGCCGAAAAAGCGGCAAAGGAAACTGCAGCTGGCATCTGCGGCGGTTAATGCCGGACGGCCATAAATCTGCCGAAATGCACTGCAAGCAGCAGAGATCTGGAAACTGGGAACCCTGAGCTAGGAGCACAGAGAGCATGGGCCATATAAATATACGACCACGACTGGCAAGCGATAGCCAAGCGAATTGCGACTTTTATGACCCCCAGCGAAGCGAGTGAATTAAATGCAAGGTAATTACATATTATAAATGTGTTTAGTTTGGCGATAGTTTAGTTTGGCCAAGAAAGCCAGTTATCGCACTGAACCCACCAGGCACATAAAGTCGTTAGTCAGAGCTGGCAAATTCACATTCACTTAGTTTATAAGTCGAAATGCTCAATGATAGCATTTGATGAGATGATAACTCTTTTTCAATGTTCCTTTAATGTTAATACATATATCTTGGAATGGTTTGATAGAAGATACAGCATACGTGGTTTCATAGGATAGCTAATTTTGTGGCAAGAACATCGCTTCAATTATCTGCTTCGAGGCAATCGCACACGGCCTTGACGAACTCTGAGCACTTGGCCTTGCCGCCCACATCCTTGGTGCGGATATCGGTGTCCTTGTAGACCTTGCGAATGGCGCACTCGACCTGGTCAGCCTGCTTGTCCATCTGCACGTGGCGCAGCATGAGGGCGGCACAGAGCAGGGAGCCCGTGGGATTGGCTAGATCCTTGCCCGCGAGCTCTTGGTGCGCCTTCATCCGGGAGTCGAACACGGTGCCCAGGGAGCTGACGGAGTAGCCGGGACAGATGCCCGGCGCACCCATCATGCCGCCGGCTATCACCCGCAGCACGTCGCCGTACATGCTGGACGAGACCATCACGTCGCACTTTTCGGGCTTCACCAGGATCCTCAGGATGCAGGTGTCCAGGTAGCGCTCCTCGAAGATGACGTCGTCCACGTGCTTCTCGGCCTCCGCGCGCATGGCCTCCAGGAAGTTGCCGTCCGTCATCCGCATGATGTTGGCCTTGTGGGCCACCGTGATCCTTTTGCGGTTGTGCTTCACGGCGTAGTCGAAGACGAACTGGGCGATCCTGGACGCTCCGGCCGTGGTGCTGACCTTGATGGTCTGCATGACACCCGGGACCACCCGGTGCTCGATGCCGGAGTAGTCGCCCTCCATCTGGTCCCGGATGATGACCACGTCGAAGGCGCCGTAGGGCGAGTCCAGACCCTCGATGTGGGAGCACAAGGACACGTAGGCGAACTGGGCGAACTGCTTGCGGATCTCGCGCTGCCAGTGGCGACTGTCCACGGGTCCCTTGATGCCCACCTTGTGGGCTCGCAGGGACTGAAGGACCTCCGGGGACACGTCCTCGCTGTCCTTGGCCATGAACTCCTCGAGGACATCCCACTCTATTGGCGCCTTTACGGCACAAATAACCTCCTGCACCGCGTTCATCAGCTCGGGTCCCACGCCCTCGCCGTTGATCAGGGACACCTTGGTGACCTTCTTGCCGGGGTCAGCCTGCGGGGATCCTGCGCCCTTGGCCTGGCCACCATCCTTGCCCTTACACTTGCCCGCCGGCTTTTCCGGCTGTCTGGCCTTCTGCCCCGCGGCATCCTTCTTCTGATCCTTGGAAGCAAGCAGACGATAGGCACCGCCCACCGATCTCAAGGGCGGCAGGCTGTTCAGTTTCCGCAGGGTGTTCATTTTTGAGAATTTGGCCCGAAATGTGAGTTGTGAGTGGAGCGGACTTGTTTGCTGGGCCTACGTGTTCGGCCATCGCCGAAAGGACTTGGCCGCAAATTTATTTGGCAGGATTTCAACTGGCTGCTCATAAATTCCGCGAAATATGCCTTGGCAGCGCACCCAAGTGGGTCATCCCGTGCTTTCGCTTCCGCTTCGCGCTGGATGACTCGCTTTAATGCGAGTTCCGGGGACACCTGAAGTCCAGATGAAATCCAAGGAGGGCGCCGCCTGCGCTGTGTAATGTGACAAATGGCTTGTCAACGGCTGTGGGCCCAAAACCAAATGGCGACTGCCGGCGGCTGCTGGCGACAGACAAATGTCCGCCCCGCCCGCTGCGCCCAAAAGGGGCGTGGCAATTATGAGGCCAGCTGAGGCAGTGATTTTTCAATGGGGCGTGGAAGAGCATAGCACATACCATTAAAATCGACGACCATTAAGAGCAGACCACGGGGAGCCGAGATATAAATATTCAGTAATTATTTCGCCCCCGCTTGATTGCAATTTAAGAATTATAAACGACCTGTTTGCCCCGCGATTTTAGCGGACTGGCAATCAGCGAAGAGAACGCGCCACGGATTTACGACACCTTCAATTCTCATTTACGAGGCAGCATAGTAATCCTTGAGCAGATATCGAACCAAAATGGATGTGTTTGTCATCCCGAGCGTTACTATCATATTTTATCGCGTATGGGCTCTCCATTGACAACTTCCTGCCCATAAAAGCCAACTGAGTGCACTTCGCCAACAAAGTCGGTGCGATGAATGGCCAGGACCTGGAAAGTTTCTGTAAACATTGGCCAAAAGCAAACTTACAATGTGTGAGCCAAACTATTATTAACCCTAGTCTATTGTTCAGTGCTCGGAGTTCGGAGCTCGCAGCTCGGAGCTCGGTGTTCTGTGCAGCAAATTGAAAGTTGAACCGAGGTGATGTCAGGGCTTCCTCGAGAAAAGAGTGGAAAGGTGACTCTCTGATTGGCACATTCGATTCAGGCAGCTGTCTGGGTGTCACTGCCTCCGCCTCCGCCTCCGCCTCAAGTCCTTGGAATCGCACTCTGCGATACAGCCTAATCTTGAAGAGATAGTGCTCGTTCTTTATTAATTCGTTGTAAGCTATATTGGAGAATAAGCCCTCGTACACAAACGACTTTCCAATAAGGACCTCATCAAAGTGCCTGCACTTGAAAGCGCTTAAGGACGTAACAGTACAGGAATAATGCGAGTCAGTTGGCTGGAAGGAAAACAATATAAATGCACGACTTATTCGCAGGATGTGTGCCCTGCTCCCGAGTGCATACCTAATTCGAGCCGCTTTGAACCACACACAAACACACACATGTGCAGCTGCAAGGACGACTTGGTGCAAGGCTGGGCGGAAAACCCAGTAAGTGAATTACTTTTCCGCGATTCCGAACACATTGAAGTCCCATGGGCCCACTCACACATGCAAGCTGATCTGGGTTTGCCCATGAAAACAAGGATTACTCTCGATTTAGCTACGTTGTACACTTCACTGTGCATAGGGTGCAGTCTGGGATAAAGCAATCTGCAGCCAGCTACTTACCAAGGTTATCGGGTTAAGTGCTGGAATGAGCAGTTATGATCCGCTGGCTTTCATTAGTCCGGCCGGCGCTCATGAATTATGCAGGCCGAGTTTATCATTTCTATGGGCTACATGTTGATTTAAGGGCTCGCTTCTGGCCAAGAACCCTTGCCAAAAAAGTTGAGCAGAAAAAAGAGGGGGGATTTTTGGTTTTCACACCCAAAACCCCGGATGGACGGACAGATTTGGTTGTTTACGTAGTCGAGGGACGTGCAACCCTTTCGTCAATGAAAGTTGGAAATTTAAGACGGCAAAAAGGAAGAAAAATCTGACAAATACTGTTGCATATTTGATTGTCTCGTTCAATATTTACATATTCGGACTCGTCAGTTTCGCCTGCCCCTTGTCTTCTGGCGGCTTGCGCTTCGTTTGTTCTGGCCTCATCCTCCGATCCGCCAATCCTCCAGTCCTCCAATCCCGCCCAGAGTCAAGCCATCGACCCTCGAGAGCCTCGAGGAGCCCCTGGCCCCCAGCGGCATCCGGCTGAAATCAGAATTTGCATTTCTATTGTTGCCCTTTGCTTCTTCTGCATCTCATAGAGTGTGGTTGGCCAGGAAAAATGGAAACGGCCAGAGCGTGTGAATCGCAGCACCTGTTTCGGCCAGCAATTGGACTCCGCTGCACGGAAAAGTGGGCAAAGCCGGAATTTCGACACGCACCTGATACCCGGGATCTATAACCCGGCTATAACTGGGCTATAACTGGGCTCAGCCCGCCAACAGTCGATTATTTATGGCTGGCAAAGAGTAATCAAAAACTAAAGTGCAAATACTTTTTGCGGCTCTCCTGCGAAACAACAATAATTGAGCATTTGGGCGCCGAACACGTCCAATATGCATTTATTTATAGCGCTGGCTCGGCATTAATTACAAGCCACTATTTGCCCAGGAAAACAGGCAAAAAATAGAGAAAAAATACAAATTAAATGCATGCATTTCACGCAAATTTACGAGTGGACTATGCAAATATTTGATAGCATTTAAGGCGCAGCTCCTCGCCAAACTGCACCTAAGTACTTCATTAGGCGGCTTAATTGCCAAGTGAGTGCCCTGAGTGACGCTGAATTTCAATTATAGGGCGATTAAAAGTATTTATCAAAAGCATCGTTTGCGGCGGGCCACATCATTTACATGCCCATCACCTCCCAATATTGAGTCACTTTGTGGCTGACCACAGACTCGCTTGATTTGCCCAGGACTCGTCGGCGTCTTAATTAAATAAACATTTTTAATCAAGTCGGCATTTCCGGGCGGACAAATATTTGGGAGTGGCTCTGGCTCCGGAGCATAAGCATCTGTGCAAATACGTAAGTGTAAGCGGCAGATATTCGACAGCTCTGTGGGATGATTGTGAATAATTTGGCAAAACAATGCTAAACTGCAGCTGTTTGTCCTGCTGGCAAATATCCTTCGCCAGGCTGGCCAATAATTGCAATTTAAATGCACAAAAGCCGCAGACCTGTGTATGTACTTGTATATATGGGTAATTCTTCGGCCGTATTCCAGTCACAGTATTGAGAATATTTTTGCACACAATGCGGTTTGTTTATGTGGTTGCCGAAGCGTAAAAAGTCGCACAATGTGACAGTTAAATATCGAGGAATATATGTTTTTACGGCTGCCATGCACGTTCCACTTCCGTGCGGCAATAGCAGGGAGACAAAAAGTTAATTAAGTTCTTAAAGGACTCCTCGTCCTGCGTCCCGTGTCCTGTGTGCCTTGCATATCTCAACGAAACGGGGCCACTGCGTGGAGCGAACGAGCAGCAGGTCGAGGATATCGCTCGCCGGAGGTCCTGCAACTCGGCTCACATAAATTGATTCCATACAAAACCGTATAATTCATTCTCGTTCTCATTCGTTTGCACCTCGATACCCAGTGCATTGTCCTCCTCCGGTGGAGCAGCAGGTGGACGCGGTGGGGTCCGTGCCCGTGCTCGGCTGCTGGGACTTAACCCGTCGGATTACCATCGCATCTGCATCAGCATCCGCACTCGGACAATATAATAAATCATGTGGCCCATGGGGTCCGCTTCCAAAGTGTCCCGACAAATCAACTTTATTTCGGCAATTGTGATGCGAACGTTTCAAAAGCGACTTTAAGCCCTTTTTCTTTAAAACTGTGGCTCTCACAGGAAACTGTTTGTCTACTACATATTTATATGTACTTTTCAGACATTATCAAAGTTATCAGTTTCCGCACCTTTCACTGCCTCTTGGAGCAGTTGTTGATTCAAGGTGCTGTCCCCAGTTAATTAGTTTACAAGCCATTAACACCGCACCGGTGTCACTGGAACTCGGCGAATCCCGCCCAGCCGCAACTTGGCATTTCGCTCACGTAAGGAGGCGACGTCGCGACTTTGGGCCAAGTCAGTTTAAGCCAAGTGCGGGAAGGCTGTGGCCGGAACTCCGAGAGGTGACAGCTGAGTGAAGTCCATGGCCTCCTCATAAATCGGGACTCTTGGCCGCCGGCACTGCCAAATTTAATTACAGCTACATATTAGTTAGAAGTTGCATAAACAGGGCGTGGCCGCTGGTCCGGAGAAGTGTTTTGCAATTTCAGCAGGCGGCCAAATTGCAGGCAGTCCCGCCCACTGGCTGTCACTTCGGCTCCTGGCCAGCTGACTAGCTGACTAGCTGGACAAACTTGAGCCACTTTCGAGCTGTCGAGCTGCTGCAGTCGCAGCCCACGAGGAGGAAAACTGACGTCTATTACTTGCCTTCTCAGCTCGGCTGGCTGTGTGTTTTTGGCCAAGACCGGGGCTACTCGCTGTCTGGGCCAGGGCCATAAATTATTAAATTTTAACAAGTTTTTATGCAGCGGCAACATCCTGTCTCCCTGTCTGTCCAACGTCTATCCCTTCGACGCCCCGGTTCTCTTGGCCAAGTCGAGCAACTCGGTTTACTTTGTCAGTGGTGAGGACGTGACCGAGAAAAGAAGCGACTCCTTCTCGCCGACTCCGTTGTCCTGCTGCCACGCCCTTAATTGCGAGGCATGCGGCTACTTTGATTGCAATAATGATATTATTAATTGTAACAAGTTTTCAGATGAATGCTTCAAGTGTGCTGGCCGAAACGGCTCCATTAAAGCCTGATTGGGCGCTATCTGAAGACTGAACGGTTCCATTCCCAAACCCAGACCCAGACCTGGCCAACAATAGCAGGAGACTTTAGCAGTTTGCAGGATTATTTAGTTATATTGAGGATGAAGCTAATAGCATGAAAACAAGCCGCATTAAAAACTTTCTTTTCCGGATTTAATTTAATGCCAACTAAGGGCGAAGCGCCAGGTACAAAGGCAGGTCAGATACGAGTGCGATATAGTCTCCTGCACCGGCAAAGGCAACAGCAAAAGCGAAGACACAGAAAACAAATTAATTATTATAATTAGAAAGGAGTGCGGCAA